CTTCTGACAACAAAAATACTGCCTTTTGCATTCCACAAAGGCATTCTCCGTATGAGCGGTTATGAAGGATAATGCAGCAGAGACACCTAGGGTATGTCTAAACTACATGGCTCCATGGATGGAGCCATGTAGATTAGTTTACTCGACAAAGGGAAATGAAGCAGCGATTTAAATAATCACCATCTAAATCAAAATGGCCGCCACGCTGTGCCGATCAGCTGTTTAGACTGCCGCGCTGTGCCGACAAACAGCTGATCAGCACAACACAGCTGCCATTTTGATTTAAATGAAGTGGCGATTATTTAAATCGCCACTTCATTTCCCTTTGTCGTCCTGCCTCATCTACATGGCTCCATCCACGGAGCCATGTAGTCTAGACACACCCCTAGGGTGAAATGCTGGCCCCAGGGGAGTCAATGCAAAAGTTCTAGTCACTTCAGAGGGATTGGGATTCCAGCCCTGTGCTGTGTTCTCTCCCTCTCTCTCTGCATGTGGGTTACACTGACAGCATCAGAGAGCTGACACACGGCTACCAGTGGAGATAGGCCTAAGATTTAGTAGAGGCGGAAACACTATCTCCTCCTCTGGCTATTCTGCAACATGGGATTAGATATTCTCTTAGCACATCAGCCAGGCTGGGCCCCAAACAAAAGCCGAGTGGTGGGACAAATGCCTCATTTGAAACTCCTGCTGTGGCTTAGGGGCTCAGCTCCTGAGTGGTGTCAGACCTGAGAGGGCTGTGTGTGTGCCCAGTCACGGCCATTAAGTCTCTGAGGCACATCGGTGCTAAGCTAGGGGGAGGAGGGCATAGTGAACCCCAGCAGTGCCTAAATGTTGGACTTAAGAGCCTAGCTTACGGCACTTAGGAAAACCTCACCCATGGAGGGAGTAGTATGCTGGAGTTAGCAGCAAAGAACTGAGCTTGGGAATTTTACCCAGTCATCCATAGATCTCAGTGCCAAAAAACAAACAGCCAGAAAGAAATGTTACCTTTCGTACTAGTTTCTGTGCAGCAGCCCTTTATTCAGTCAGTTGAGAAACCCAGAGCTAACCCATTTTGCAGCTCATGTGCCAGCATCTTATTGCCGAGAGCCATTGCCGAGAGCCATTCTACAGTCTAACAGGGTCATTATCTAACTGCTTCTTATGTGAATATTTCTCCAGCATTGCTCCTTCCCACCCGTGATTGTTTGGTGTCCTTAATGCCATACATTTTCTGCAGTGTTCCCCAGTTCCTGTACATCCCATGTCTGCTGACTCACAGGGCGCCACATTGGCAGGGCTCAGTGGCTGCGTCTACACTGGCCCCTTTTCCGAAAGGGGCATGCTAATTTAAATATCCTACTTCAAAGTAGGAATAAGAGATCCTCCGGAAAAGGGCTTTTTTCCGGAGGATCGGGGCCAGTGTAGACGCTCTTTTCCGGCTTTTCTAAAAGCCGGAAAAAAGCGGCGGACATTTTTATTTAAATGCCGCGGGGGATATTTAAATCCCCCGCGGATTTCCCTATTACGACCTGTCAAATTAGCATGCCCCTTTCGGAAAAGGGGCCAGTGTAGACGTAGCCAGTGTGTTTACATGCAGGGCTGTGAGTCAGGAGTTCCAGAAGAGACTAGCCTAGCCTCACGGATCCCAAAGAGCCTTACATCCATGAAGGAGTTATGCCTCCCCAGGTGCCCAGGCAGCTAGCAGGTATTACTATCTCATTTTATCACCCCCAGGACAGGAAAGCAACGGGGCCATCGGGCGGGAACTAGAGATACAGGGAGTGCTGAAGCACCCCCAAGCTTCTGGCCTGGTGCTTGGCATCCCATCCCAGCTGCCGCCTTGCAAGCTGGGGGGACTCTGCTGCTAGCTCCGTGCCTGGGGTCACAGCTACTGGCCTCATGTGCTAGGGCTTTGCTCTCAGCCTCAGCTGTGGTGGGTGGGAGGTGAGCAGAGGAAAGGGAGGAAAGTGCAAATAAAGAGCTTAAGTGCAGGTAGGCTAAGTGACTTACCTAAGGTCATGCCTTGAAGTCTTTGGCGGAGCAAGGAATTCAATGCTGGTTCCCCAAATCCTAGGCCAATAGCCTCACCACTGGGCCATCCTTTCCCTGTTCTCTGAGCAGCTCTACTCGATATTTTTCTGGATCACATCATGGACACAGCTGAGGGCCCGAGATACCTGTGTGTCCACAAGCCGGATATAAGCCTTGTTAGTGATAAAGCCCTGCAGTGGCCTGAGGCAGCACTCCCCGTGGGAGCAGCGAGAGGCAGGGAGCTTGCCCCTTTCACTGCTTGCCAGCACAGTTTCCATTAATGGCAGAATTTAGTTGGCCCCCCAGGCACTGACATCAAAAGGGTGTGGTTGTTACCCGAGGGGGCCTAGCAGAGGTCCCTCGGCACGCAGGGATGGGGGAAGCGGATCCAGAACCGTCTCCATGGCAGACAATGGTCCCAGTTAGGTCACTGGGTAGGGCAGCATTGAAGAGACCAGGCACGTGAATGTCCCCAGTCATGTCCTCCGAGGGCCCGTCACCTCTGCTGCCTTCAGTGTGTGTGTGTGGGGGGGTGCAGTGGTTTGCCCCACTGCTGCGGTTGCCTTATCGCCTTGTGCCTCGGGGCATTGTGCCTTCTAGGGGCCACAGCGGGCACCCCGCCCTCCCCCCCCCATGGGCTCTTGCGTGCAGCCCAGGGGAGGGGCAGCGGAGAAGCCATCTGGCTTGCTGAGGAAAGAGCAAAGATTCCCCCCCCACACACACACACACTGTTGCTAGGATACCCACCGCTGGGAGGGGCCCCCTAGTAACCACGAGGGAGGAGGGATTATAAGGCCTCTCCTCCCTGGGAGAAGGTTGCTAGGGAACCATCTGCAGTGTTCTCCTGACCCGGCCTGCTGTAGTCCCAGGTCAGCCAAACCAACGCACACCCCCCTCTCCATCACACAGCTCCCCCGTCCAGCCTTTGTCCCCTCCTGTGACGGGCTGTACCAACCCCTCACAGGGGTGGCGAGGGCTCACCTGGCTGAGGAGGCCCCGCCCCCACAGCCCGCTATAAAAGCCCATGGAGCGACAAAGTCTGGGCTGGAGGGCCTGCAGAGGAACTGCCCATGGACCACGCTACGGTGGCCAGCCAGAGGGAGGCTGCAAGGGGGCCCCCCAGTGCGAAGGGAAGCGCTGGAGAGAACTAGCTGGAAGAGACTGATAGGAAGTAGCCCAGGGCGGGGAATTGTACCCCTAGCGCTCAGCGTGGTGTGTGGGATTCTCTGCTGAGTGATTGCTGCTGACAGGGCTCTGGGCTGGGACCCAGTGGAGAAGGCGGGCCCGGGTCTCCCCTATGCCGTCCTCTCCAACCCCATGAGGGGACCTTTACCCATCGTTACTGACTCTGGCTGCTAGGCCACACTGCCCTGGGAGAGAGGGGCATGGTTGCAGACTCTGGCTGCTAGGCCATACTGCCTGGAGAGAAAGAAGTGTGGTTATAGACCCTTGCCACTAGGCCTTGCTGTCCTGAGATAGAAGGACGTAGTTGCAGACTCTGGCCACTAGATGACACTGCACAGGGAGAGAAGGGCATGGTTACAAACTCTGGCTGCTAGGCCTCGCTACCCCAAGGAAAGAGGAGCATGGTTACAGACTATGGTGCTAGACCACACTGCCCTGTGAGAGAGAGGGCATGATTACAGACTCTGGCCACTAGGCCATGCTGCCTTGACAGAGAGAAGTATAGATACGGACTCTGGCTGCTAGGCCACACTGCCCCAAGAGAGATGGGCATTAGCATTAGCATGGACTGATAGTCCAGGTGGTTGGAAAAGACCGTGGGTGGAACCACCACACCCAGGTTTTAATGCCATTTGAGAGGTGCAGAGGCACACTGCCTTCCCCCCTGTGGGAGAGGGGAAAAACAGGACATCCCACGCCACCTCTCACTGCATCAATTATCACACAAACACCAAACCCACTAGTGTCCCAAGACCTAGACAAACCAAGGCCTCCACGCAGACAGCCCTGTGCTTCTGAACTGTCTCCTGAAAGGCACGCCGACGGCAATACAACTGCTGCAGGAGCCATGCTCCCATGAACCCACCTCAGGAATGGAAGACACCAAGTCGTGTCCACGCTGCACACGGTAATGTTATCACTGTTTGCCCCACTGTATGATGTAGCCCTAGGGGAGTTTATGTGGGGCTAGGTGAAAGGGGACAAACCCAGAGTCATGCCCCCCTTCTTCTATGATGAACCTATCCTGCCCTAGAATCCCTGCCTCTCAAAGTGAAAGGGACAATCCAGCTGCCGATGTTCCACACCAAAGCTAACATGGCCTCACTGTACAGATGTTTGTTCAGCTACAATTCAATGTCTGCTTCGGTGGGTACTATCTGAGCAGCTGGATGATTTAACATTGCTATGGGAATCTCAGCATTCAGTTTGTGACTTACATGCATTTAAATTCTGAGCCTCACTACAACATTAATGTTTTTCATTCATTCATCCTGCTAAGCTGAACAGGCAGGCCAGTGTCTAAACTCTTAGAAGTTTCGCTTAAACATCAAGAAAAGCCAACAGGTTGCCTGCCTTTGAAAGCACAGGTTTAAATCTTAAAATGAGTAGCAGTAAACCACTGAAAAACTGTGCATCTTTTTATCCCTCATCATATATTGCACTGCTATTATCCAGAGGCTATGACAAAAATAGCCAATTAAATGTTTAAAATTCACATTGGAGCACAAGTGTGCACAAGAATTAGTACTAGAGGCATCAGGAACATCCCAGATGTTCAAGTGAAATAATTTTTACTTTTTTTTCTTTTAAATATCAAGGGAAAATACTGTTAGGAATTGAAATATTATTGATATAACATGAGAATTCAAATGATTCTAGACGTGAAGAATGATTCTGATGCCCTTAATTGAGCTGAATGGCACCTTACCTCCACAACAGTCTTACTGATTTCAACAGGTCTAACATCCCAGATGTTCAAGTGAAATAATTTTTACTTTTTTTTCTTTTAAATATCAAGGGAAAATACTGTTAGGAATTGAAATATTATTGATATAACATGAGAATTCAAATGATTCTAGACGTGAAGAATGATTCTGATGCCCTTAATTGAGCTGAATGGCACCTTACCTCCACAACAGTCTTACTGATTTCAACAGGTCTATTCAGT